GCCAAATGTCTGGCTCACTGCTGCCAACTAGTGGTCAGAGGATGAACTACAACATAAAAATGAACGGCTGGCAGGAAAGTTGACATTTTAAACCTTAATTAAAAATCGATACAGGACTTTAGAATATCGATACAGTATCGGGACATGATATATCGCGATATTTCAGTGTATCGATATTTTCTTACACCCCTAATGAGGAGTATATTTAAGGTCTATTCAAGACCCTAATATTATTATATATATATTTTAACAGATTTACCTAATTTTCCCCTGGGATCAATAAAGTATTTTTGAATTTGAATTGAATACAGCTCAAGTAAATACACAATTCTTTTCAAAACCCTCAAGTTCAAATCTTTCATTAGAAAAAACAATGTACTTGTACATGGTGCACAGCAATAACAAAAAAATAAGTTTAAATAATTCAATGGATTCCAACAAAATTCAAATGTTTTGACCACATTAATCTCAAAATCTTCCCTAGTAATTTTTATAGTGATTGAGAAATGTGATGCTAACTTTTTTAGCCTTTAGAAGACAAATTTCTCACCAACAAATGCAGAGAATAAATAAAATTCCAGAAGTTTGAATATCACAAGTGTTTGTTATACATCACAGAATCCTGTGAATACTAGCCCTCTAGGTCAAACCTATTTTTATTTAACAAAGCTAGCAAATAAAGATCATGGCTGCCTGTTGGTGAGCCAGCCAGGCCACCCACAAATACAACCTAACAACCCCCCCCCCCCCCAACTACAGCTTAATCAGACGGGGGTCAGAAGGACCCCACCGCCACACTAGACCTCCACTGGAGACATGGAAATGCTGCTGCTTTTCAGCTGCATTCCCCTGCTCCGTGGGCGTGGACCCCTAAATACACAAAAATGTGTAAAATTGACTTAAAATTTGTTGCATCTATGGCTGCAAATGATCCCCCAACTCTTATTCAGAGCTCTAACAGATTTCCTAAGACTAGGGCTGCCACAAACAATTATTTTTATAATCGATTAATCATCGATTATTTTTTCGATTAGTTGACTAATCAGATCAAACGTTAATTGAATATAAAACATACAACTTATCACACCAGAATGCAGCTGCTATTATATAACCATGGTTAGATTTTAGCTATATGCTAACTAAAAATAAT